TGCGTTCGCTCCTATGATGAAGTCGCCGCGAGGTCTGGCTTAACCCAAACGTCTAAGACGGTGAATTACCAACTAAAATTGGGCTCCCAGCCGAGATACCTTCATATCAACTATCTCTGGGGTATCCACGAATTTCCTTCGCGTAAACTTGAGAATATGTTAGACGGCCACATAGGGGACCCTAGAATACCTTTGCTCTTATAACGCTTAGCCCACACCAAGGTCTTGGCAATTAAACTGGGCGGTGGAACCCACCACGCGAATTCATTCCTCCACCATAACGCTACTTCCCTCGAAAACGCGTCAACTGCCAGTGCACCGGAACAAGGCTCCTTGGAGATGAAAGCGTCACATTTTTAGTGAACTCACTGGCAAAGGAATCTATGGTGCAAAAGCCCCAACTTTGCTGCAGCTGCATGCTTATCTTGCCCCTGATACTGTCGTCCAGATCCACCGCTCGCGAGGCTAAATCCGCTTCCACATTGGACTCCCGCGCAGTCCAGCAAAAGTCCACTGTGAGATTGATCCTTGCGCAAAAGTCCCATATGCGCTCTGCCATTTTCTGCAGGTGTGGCTTGGTGGTGTCCTTTCTCAAAATAGCGACGGCTGCTTGACTGAATGTCACACTCTTGCTCGTTCCAAAACGATCGCCAAACGCTCTCATTCCAAAAAGCATCGCGTATAGTTCCCTGATCGCGCTTGACATTCCCACAAGCTCCGGAGGCAAATTAGCAGAAGATGACAATTTTTCGCCTACATTTGAATGCAAAACCGCACTCATGCCAAATTGGCATCTGAAAACACCCTTAGCGCGTTATATAGGTCGGAAACCGCCGCAATGGGCATGCCATTGAATTTGGAATCAAACTCCAACTAACCTTAGATTTCCTCCTTCTCTTGTTTCGCGAGTGGCCCTCTATACTTTAGGGCGGTACCGGCTCAGACAATCGCCGGGGGCAGGCGGTCCGCAAACTCGCGTTTTTGTGCAAGCGGTCAGCAGAATTTTGGGGCGTTTCCAAACCTTCAGCGAGCGGTACTACCTTTACTGTCTAATGTTCTGCCAGCGGGCAGCAACACAGAATTTTCTGCAGGCGCTCGTCAAATAATCCTTTCAGCGCTGGTCAAATTTTCAACTGGCGCTCGGACGGTTTTTAAGCAGTTTTGGGCGTACGCCGAGCAGAGGTGAGACTCTACATGGCAGAGGGGTCATCGATGATTTAATTACTCAAGTTTGAGGTACTTTCTCCCAGCGGAAAGTACCTGGGGGCTGCGCGGTCCTCCACAAAGGACCGTGCGGCCCCCAGGTACGCTCCGCAAAGCCGAAAACTTTGCGGAAAGTCCGCGAGAATGCGGCCACTACGCCGCAGCTAATCTATAAGGAAACGATTGTTCTCCAAACATTCGTCTAGAATTTCGCTAAAATTCTTCCAAATAGCTGCAAGCGGACCGCAAGAAATCAGCGAACTATTTTCCGGTGCCCGCCCGCCCATAAATCGCATGGCCGCCTGCCCCTGGCGATTATCTGAAGGTTTGCTCTTTCTCAGCTAACTCTGAGGTCACAACCTTCCCAACCTTCAACTCTGAAGGGGGTACTAGATGCATAGACGAAATTCTGCCCATTTTAGTCTATCCGAGAGAGACGGGTCTCACATTCAACAACCTCTCAGCCAGCCCTCTGGCCCGCTTTCTCCTCTCATCAGTCACATTCAAGGTCATTGCTACTAAGTCAATATCATGGCCTAGCCATACCAACCTCTGGAGCGTGATCCAGGAACACTTTTCCTCGGCTGAAAAGCCGGCATCACATAGGTCGACTCTGACTTTCTCAACTGCTTCCTCGCACCTGTGTGCGGAATCTGCCCATATGAGCCCATCATCCAAATATACCGCTACATTAATCCCCGAAGCTCTCCACTTACCTAGGAGGGGCCTCATCAACTTAGTGAAAACGCGGGGGCAGATGAAAGTGCAAATGAAAGCACCGCAAATTTGTATAGATTACCCTCCCAAGAGAATCCGAAATACTTGGAAACCTCTCATTGATTCTCACATGATGATATCCCGACTCAAGATCAAAAGAGGCCATAAGCCCTAGATGGCAAAAGAGGGGCAACTTTAGAGACATCTTCAAACCTCATTTTACGCCACACTTCTATTCAAATCTGATAGATCCAGTGTCAGCCTCAGTTTCTTCCCTTCCGCCACGAAGGGGATTAACCCTAAGCTCTTCCATACTACTGGCTCTAATCACCACCCCGGTATTAAGCAGGCTTGCTAACTCCATGTCAACAAACTTCTTGTGGATCATAGCGGATCTACAATTCTTCCTAAACACCAACCAGAGCTCTACTCAAAACTCGGGACTATAGCCTTCTCGGAGTAGCATTCTCTAAAAAGGGATGGCTTCAAACTCATCTAAAACTCCGAACGCGTATGGATAGGCCCAACATGAAACTCACTTTTATTTGCGCTCCTCTCGACATTCAAGGCCATGACGTCCGCAGTTAAAGCACATGTCCTTCGGGCGTCCTTGAAACCCTGCGAGGTGATTGCGAGGGTATCCGCGCGCTCGTCCATAGACGGGCGTCTGGCAAGAAAGAGGGGCAGGATCCCGGGCCGCCCCTCCGGCCCGAAAGGGCTGCTTCGGGTATGGCCAGTAACGCGCTCCTGAACAAAAGGATCATAGCAACTAGCTGAATTAATAGCGTATGAAATGAAAGTATCACCCTTAATCAATGACTCACTCCATACCGATCCCCGAAACACGATTGGCTTCTTCTCTTCCTTCTTTTTTTTCTCTCTGATAAACGCCGCGAGTATGGGATTCATCAGCTGCATTGCGTCCGCCTTGCTCTACCTCTCAAACAACTCCAATACCTCAGGTATCGGCCACCGTTAATAGCTCATTTCTCTGGGTGAGGAGGGTAGTTGCCCTCCTGGGATAGTCCTTGGTCTCCTCTTCTTTCACCAGATTTAACGCGAGAATGCAGACAAGACAGACGAGTTGAATGTGAATCGTTCCTCCAGACCCAACTTCGTGAAGGTCGGCGTAGTAGACGATCCAGGAATAGATGCCGAAGTGCTGGGCGAAGTACTGGGAGGAAGCGAAGATTCGAATACGAGGCCGAAATTTAGGAGACTAGCTGATGAAATTGCTCCTTGATCATTTGCACTAAATCGTCCTCAGGCTCAGGTGTAGCGGGGTACTGATCCGACATCGCAGTGTAGAGAATATCCGAATCGCGGCTACTTCCCACGTTGACGAAAGACCGGAATGACGAAACACCGGCCAAGCACACGTTACCGTATCGCCCGCCCCCAACGCGTACTGGCCACCAGCCAAACCCGTTGCGAAATAGCAAAACTCAATTTTCAACGTCATGGTATTGGCTTGTTTTAATGACCGGAGCAAACATTCTTTTGTTAAAAGTGAAGCTTGAAATGCTGAAAGCTAATATTGAAGAAACTCAACTTTTCTAACTGAGAAGAACTCTCATCTTATATATAAAGCTGAATGTCTGTTTGTCTGCGTGTTTGTCTGTATGTCGGTATGTAAACGCTACTGCATGATGAAGACGCAGAAGCACAATTAGTTGAGCGTGTGCGAACGCGGTGCGCGCGCATCTTCGCCGTTGAATGCTGCGCTTCAGCGCTCCGTGGCCAACAAAGCTGCGGTGGGGTCCGAAGATATAGCGCCTTCGTCATGCAGCAGCATATGTATGTATATGTATGTACGTTCCGAATAGAAATTTATATTTCTAAACTCGGCAAGTTTGGCACACATACACTTCGGGGGGGGGGGGGGCAGGTGTCGTAGGCTATTTTCGTCATCGACTGATATCGATTTTATCGATTTTTTGCTAAGTTCGAACTACGGGGTTGGGAATTGGCAGAGGGGTAAGTGAGCACGCTGATTACTAACACAGAGGTGATTTCTTCAACCCGGAATAGGCGAAACATTCGAATGGATCAGCGCGTCCGCGCCGCTACTGGCTCGGCGAGATAAACTATAATGAAGAGACGCAGACTGCAAAGCGGCGCGAATCTTAGCGAAACGAGCTTCCGGCAGTCCAGTTTCCGTCTAAACTAAGTTGGAACTTACTATAATAGGAAATTGGCATGTAAAGTGGGCACAAGAAAGGTTGTACAGGGATAGGGATGGGATCATCATAGTGTTTTGACAGGGCCGGAAGGAGCGGGTAAGCCAGCTAGTCTTCATTATCATCGGAAACAAGGGTTGTTACAGAAGCACTTACGCTTTGTCTTTTTGAAATAAAATTAATCAAATGTAGACGTTGCTAGTGAAAGCCAAGCAAATTATACAAGATGGTATGCAGAATCTCGCGCTAGCATCGGTCCAGCCAACTTTTAAGCCAAAAATCTGGAGAAATTAGAGTCCAAAAATTTGAAAAAAAAATCTTTGATTTTGCATCCAGACTTTTAGACTCAAATGTCAATCCCAAAGCTTCCTTTTTGATCTGTAAGTAGTTTTCTCCTTTTTTTCGAACAGACGCGATGCATGCGTTGATTCATTAAAATGTTCGTGCAATTTCGCACATTCAATAGTCGCTCGCGTCCGCTGTCACGACGATCTTCTGCCATTGGGCGTGATTAACGAACTGGGGTCACTTGACAACATCTTTTTGAGCTTCTCGACTCTTTTTTGCCGTATTCGAAACCAATACTGCATCTACCTTGTCCAGAAAGACCTTTGATCTTTGGGAAAAAATTATCAAAAGCTCGTTGAGCAATATACCTTGGTATGTCCGACTCAATCTAGTGGCAGTCGAACCTTTGTCATAACTGCTGGAGATTGTGGGATTAAGCCCGGTGTCATTTGTAAAAGGAAAAGATACTAGTGTTAGTCCAAGTCCGATGGATCAAATCTAACTCATCACTTGCAAGCATCAAAGTATTGGAAAAGATTAATTTGTTTTTACTTGATGTTACAACTTTCTGTTGCAAAAGTTGCAGGAAGATGAGTAACTTGGGTTTTGCAGAAATTCTCGCAGGAGTGCAATAAAGCAAAGAAGATGAAAATATTCGTTCATTCATTGCATTCACCACAACATCTTCGAGCAGTTTTTCAACTCTTGAAAGATGGTAAGCCCAATTATAAAAATGTTGCCATCAGAAGTTGCATTGTTTGCCTGTTGATTCTCGCTCTCTTTTGTGCTTGTTATTAATTGTTTTTGTTTAGTTAAATATGTTTCTCAAACTTGCCGGGTAATGGTGACCGCCATAGATGAATTGTAAATAAATGTTTATTGCAAAGGCTTTTCTACGGTCGCTAGGCTTGAATGTTTAATCTTCTTCCCACAAACGCAATAACTGATTCCAATAGGTTGCCGGTTGTGACCTGGCAACTCTAAGAACAGCAAAATTTGAATGAAAAAATTGATGCACCTGTATTAATGAACTATCGCTATATCGAGGCCTCCTTCAGCGTGACTTCAACAAGGCTCAAGAAATAAGCGACTTGGAAGTCTAAATCAGTGCCGACAATACATCAAAATCAAACAAAACTCCTAAATAACTTTGCTTTAGAACAAACTGGAGTGAAACTACAAACGTGATTCTGGTATGCAATTCCAGATATCCAGTAGTTACGCTGTAAGCAGTTGATCAGGATCAGGTTATACAAACATGCTGTTTATCTGGTGTGTGCATTCTATGGAATTAATAGCTGCGTTAGACCTCGAAAGGAGCTCACTTCACCGCAGCAATTCTCCCAACGAGACAAACAGTTACGAGTTCATTGTATGTCGATAATTTTGCATTTCGGTTGTGACAGTAGCTAAAATTGGTCGTGTAAAATTATTACAACCGAAACAAGATGATCGGTATGCAACAGAAACGTAACTTTTTCTCTTGTTAAGAGAATCGCAGTGATAGCAATCGATAAAATCGCGTGAACTCTGTCCGAGGTCTTAGGCGGGCAGTCTGTGAAGTGAAAGACGTTTGCGATTTTCTACCGTTTGCGTAAATTCGCTCACCAGTCCCGTCATGTATCGCCCCACATCCTAGGGTGTGTCATATCATATCAGATCAAAACGCCAAGACGTGGCACGAGACCTGGCAGAGCGGCCGAACGATGCCGGTTGAAGAAATTACGCATCGACACAGACTATTTGGCGCTGTTCGCAAATCCGGACACATGAACGAAAAGACATGAATACTTGTCGGTGACAAGGCCTTTGTCGTTTGTCACCTTTTTTAGACCATAAAGACGCCCCCTATATGGTCCTGACACGCTTAAGATACTTCAATCATGTTCTCAGAGTAGTACAGACTACCAACTCCGGAGTGCAAATACTGCACGAGCAGATACAGGCAAACACCACCTTTTAGTTTTAAAGACTCTCATATTTCTTTCAATGAAGAGTTCTTGAAAACTGAACTCAATTTTCCATGACGCTTCACAAGTCGGAGTAGTTTGTTGAAGCGGTTATCAGGGGTGGTTCTTTTGATTTTGAATCTTTCCTTATTTTGCAACAAATTTTGAGTTTCAAATCTTTTCCATTATTATTTTTATCTTCTCGGAATGGGAAAGTTAGCGGTTTTCCTTTAGGAGAACTCTTCTTTTTCATGAGTTTTTTTGCTGTTAAATGATTTAAATACTCATGATATCACGATATTTCTGAGATCGATATTGCACTTCAGCGCGACGAGGTGCGAGAAAACCTCTCGACAGGAATTTTAAACGATAAGCGTAATCATTAGCTCAGGCGGCTGGCTGCGGCAGCCAGGGTCAAGCGTGGGGTGCGGCACGCCACACCTGGGGGGTCGTATTGAGGAGTCAAAAGTGGAGGGGGTCGTAGTTGGGTAATCTGATAATAGTGTAACATGATATTCGTATCCTATCCATAATTAGCATGTCAAATAACCCCTGTAGACAAAGTTTGAGCGATTTATGAAGATTCAAAATACTAGGCTACCTAAGTGAAATGGTCAAATTCCATCATGGTTAACTTTGTTTCAAAGGTGAATTAGCCATCCGTTTTTGCACTCAAGACAAAGCACTACTCCTTCTTTGTCCACTTCAGAAATCCTGCTTTAGAAGACCTCCAAACTGTGGAATTAGAAGCCAACCAAAATCTCGCTTTTCCCATTTTTCGCTTTTGATCGCTGTGCTTTTACCAAATATTATTTAGAGCTAAGAAGACGAATCAGGCTCAAAACAGTCCTATGAAATCTACAAGGTTTAGGCTATCGATTCATATAAATATTGTCCGCTAAAATTGTTTATATAGTTAATGGGGTGCGACACCCCCTCAAAAGCTGCGGCGGCCGCAGCTTTTAAGGGGTGTGCCGCATCCCATTAACTATATCAAAAAAAAACATTTTTAGCGGACAGTATTTATATGGATCGATAGCATAGATCTCCTAGTTTTCACAGGAGTAATTTTAACCTGATTCGTTTTCTTTGCTCTAAATAATATTTGGTAAAAGCACAGCGATCAAAAGCGAAAAATGGGAAAAACGAGATTTTGGTTGGCTTCTAATTTCACAGTTTGGAGATCTTCTGAAGCGGGATTCCTGAGGTGGACAAAGAAGAGGTGGTGCCTTGTTTTGAGGGCAAAAGCAGCTAGCTATTTCACCTTTGAAACAATGTTAATCATGTTGAAAAATGACCATTTCACTTAGGTAGCCTAGTATGTTGAATCTTCAGAATTCGCTCACACTTTATCTACAGGGGTTATTCGAAATGCTAATTATGGATATGTTGCCCATTATGTTTGACGGGGCCTTCAAGTAATGCTATCTCAAGTGTATAGTTTAGGGGGGGGGGGGTCTTAGTAAGACAGCAATCAGGGGGGGGGGCGTAACCAGCGATCGTGTGCCACACCCCTTGCTTGACCCTGGCGGCAGCAGTCGGCTGCCCGGGTACCACTTGCTACGCACCCCCTTTGTCAGATTTTGAGGGTATAAGAATGCTCCAGGAGCACCGTAGCCTCACCCATGCTTTCCAGAACAAACTAAATCCTGAGAGTGTGCTTCAAACTCCCGCCAAAGATGCCCTTCATCAAAAAGCCAGGCCGATGGAACCGCAGCGTGTGTTCAGCATTTGGCGCATGATTTGTAGTGCCTGCGGATCTTAGATTAATGTGCTGTAAGGCAGGCTTCAACTTATATTTGTTGTACAAAACTTATTAAGAGTTGAGCAAAAGGTCAGGCACAAGTCGTTCGGAAACGACCCCCCCCCCCTCCAGAAAAGCCCCCAAACGACTCCGTCTTAATCCTCTCCACCTCCGGAGCTCAGAGTGTGACACTCTGGAAAAGACGAGTCTGTCCTGCAGAGTTTTTTAATTTTAGGAGACTGTCTGATCGCTTTTTTGTGACTGCACATTATGAATACACGTAATTTCAAGGCGGATTTCAATGTGAATCGTCCTATTGAACGGGCCAGAACTTCCCCAGGGGTGGAGTGTTCTGCTCCAAATTTTCACTGAGGCAAGAAGAGGTTATGAGCTCAATATTCATACCAGGAATGGACTGGCTTCTGAATTTTGAAGACAAGTTAAGTGGGTCAGGCGCAAGGCTACAAAAGCTCAGGCGACCCTGACTTTTTGAGAGGTTGCGCCCGACCCCATTAACTTTATCGCGAAGACGCTTTTTCATCCAAGTTTTGTGATTCGCTAGCACAAACCTCGAACATTCTACAGAAGGTGTTTGAGCTTAGCTCGTCTTGTTTCGACTTTGTGGTAATCCTTGGAGTTGACGCGCTCAAGGTGAAAAACGCGATGTTTCGAATATGGGCAGTACCCCCTACTCCACTATATGAAAGCGATATGAATTCTAGTTTTAGTAAAGACTGATAGGGAACATTACTTTGTTATGAGTATAAAAAAGCTGACTTCTTTCACTTTTGAAACCAAGTTGATCATGTTCGAATTTCAGGCTTTTTAGACGGTAGAAAACGCTGGAAAATGTAGTAGGTGATAGTCTGTAGTGCTAGTAGAGGTGATTTCATACGCTAATTACGGAAACAAGGGATGAAGAATTGAAATTTGGCTGAAACTTAAATGGCGTCAATCAATAATAGGCTGGTCACGACAGCCATTCCTTCAATTCTACTGGAATTGTGATATGCATCGGTCTAAAGCTTTTCTTCTTTACCTTACCCTTCTTGTTTACGACCTCCCCCCCCCCCCTCCTCCCCCTTAGTCTTACCACCAATACGACCCCCCGGTCAAGCGCGCCTGACCTCACGCTCAACCCTGCTTATTGCCCTTATATTTTGTTACTGTAGAATTACGGCAGCAACGTGAAAGAATCTGGCTAATGAGAGCATATATCGCCCCGAAGAATATGGAAGAAGGTGAATTTAAAACACACGAAGAAAGACAGAAAGCTATTTATATTAACATACTGCAGCCTCTGCGAAACGGGGTGAGCCCTGGAAATAACAGCGAAAAACAGCGATGAAGGTCCGGGGCTAAAAATGATGACATAGTAACAGCAGTGTGCAATAGCCAACTTCAAATCTCTTCTCGCTAAGATTTCTTTCCATATGTAGAAGTATTGACCTTGATCAAGCTTCCATCAAGCGACAGATGTCTTGTTTTCGAATAGGTGGTTTTGTTCTTTTTACCTGCGAGATGGTTTCTAATACAAATGTAGGATAAACACTAAAAACAGTTATGTGATACTGCGCCATTGGTCCTCTCTTTCGTGTCGCCGCACAACGTCCAATGAGATAGTATCCGCAATATAGCAAACGTATTAGGTTGGCTTTTTGAAGTGTTGGTATCGGTGTAAGCAGTACTGGTGCACATTGTATACCGTTGGATAGAGGAAATCAATCTCTACAAAACTTTGGTAAGCACAAGCACCATAATTGTTTTTCTCTAAAATGTAAACGAAAGCATAGAATTTTGACCTAACCCAGGCATCCAGCTTCTTCATACTTTATGAAACTTCCTACATGCTCCAGCTTCTCAGACAGTCGAAGGGATACCTTCGGCGGGCATATGGCGCGAGTCTACCACTTCGCGCTCTGGAGCCCTGCCATTTGACGCATTTTTGTGCTCCGGGGCTCTCCCGAAAGTGGCGCACCTCCGGAGCAGAGATTTGCGCGTCCCGGAGAGGGGTCCCATTCGTCCTGTTTGTGACGTCACCGTGACATCACGGTGAACAAATGGGACCCCTCTCCGGGACGCGCAAGTCTCTGCTCCGGAGGTGCGCCCCTTTTGGCAGAGCCCCGGAGCACAAAAATGCGTGAAATGGCAGGGCTCCGGAGCGCGAAGTGGCAATCCTCCGCTGGGGAAAGCCCGCGACCCTGCCACTTCTGCTCCGAAGGTATCCCATCGACTGTCTGAGTTGTGGTAGACACATACTTACATACTTATATGCCTAGTTGTACGGATTTTCAGCTTAAACAAGAAAAACGACGTAAATGAAAAGTGGCGAACTCTGCCCTCATTGATCCTAGGCTCCTCGCAGTTGCTTAAATGTCAGCTATAAGCGAGAGAGAAACTATAGCTGCGAATTTCCGGGCATGCACATGCATTGGATCTCGATGAATAGCAGATTTAGCCTAAAAATGTCCTAGAACTTTCAAACCAACACATAATATTTAGATGAGTGCATGTATCTGCTACACGCAGAAGAGCAAGCAAGAATTTTTAGGTTTTTTTTCGGGGGAGGAGCCGCTTTGCAACATGGATTGTTCATGGGTTTTTGCCTCACTTTGCGTTGAACATGATTTATGTTGAGATTTAGAAGTTATTTTGTAGAGTTTGCATCACTCATTGGTACCCCTTTTTCTTCAAGTTTGCTGTTTCAACAAAGCGGCATTCTTTCCTCCCAACCTTAGATCTGCCACTGTTTTGGCTCAGAAGAAGTATCCTTTGATTCAATTGACTTGGCATTGGAAGGCGGGGCTTCGTGAGCAGCTAATGATTGGAGAGCACGCGCGCGAAAAAGACGCAGATTGCGTCGCGGGCTCGAACGGCCTTAACTAGGTCACAAAACCCTGCCTTCCAGCCGCCAAACCAGTTGAATCAAAGGTTACAAGAGATTCACAACAAACCCCACATTCTTGCAAGAAAGTATTTCATTGATCACTATGAATTTGCACTATAGAGAAAGATTTATTATTTATAATTGACCATCAAGAAAAATAGCGTTTGGTTGAAACAGTCAGATCAAATAAGAGATGCAGGATGGAAAGCCGAAGTAGAAGCAATTCCATCACAGTGGTCAAACAGAATCATACTTATCATATTGCAACATTGGTCATAACAAATAATTAAATTTGATTGGGCACAAAAAGGCACAGCAACTAAAGTATCCGTAGAGAAAACGAACGATACAACCTGCACGCAAACGAAAACAATAATACTTAAATACCAATATTAACTCTATATAACAACTCTAGCGATGACGAACAAGTAGCTTCGAACACTGTACAAAAGAAAACATAGTTATCGATCGCTTTGTCCAATCGAATCATATTCGTTCAGCTTCTAATCGAATCCATTGTTGGGGCAAGGTCCATTTATCCAGTGACGACAGTCGCATATCAATCTGAAAAAATAATACGTGATATTTATGAGATTTTTCCAGAGAATTTTTTATCTTTCTGTACCTGTCCTATAATAGGTTTCGAAGAAAATGCTCCATAATTTGTGTCATCCTTCACAGATATTTGTAGCCGATAGTTATGCAGATCATTGGCTTCCACATCAAATTCAAAACTGAAAGAAAAATTGAAACCCCTCAAAATTACGGAAAGGCGGTTAACGATTACTTATTAATTACTTACTGATTATCGAAAGACGGATTCACTGAGCCTTTCACAACACCTGTTTTTCTTTTTTGGACGTCTCTGCTGTTTTCTATGTTTATGAGTTTAACCTGGAAATTTACAAATTCTTAAAGGACGATATTTCGGAAAAATTTGATTGGGACAAACACGCTCAAAAATTTGGTATCATTGGCCACGCCCATTTTTGACTGTGTTCCTCCCCGAAAAACATTTCTTCATAAATTTGCGTGTGAGATGCATTACCTTCGAAAAAAAATCTCCTATCTTAATGGCACCTGCTCATATCCTCTCCCTACCCCCTCCCCCTACCCCGTCCCTCTTCCTTCGGAAAAAATTGGTAATTGGCTCACCGTTGCATAAGGATTACACTGGCCGGATTTGGTCCATGGAAGTAGCTGTTTTGCCCGAAGCACTTGTACAACCAGCTTTCTGGTTGCTTCAGCATATCTTACGGACATCTCCAGCTCACCTCGGGGTTGATTTCCCCTAAACAGTAAACATAAACAAAAGGTAAAAATCATTTGTAATAAAATCTGCAAAATCTTGCCTATTCTTCGTGTCCTTTTCATGTCTTGCGGTGAAGACTCGTCCAAGACGACTAGATCGTCCTGAAGGGGTGCTGATCGAGTTTACAGATTCAGAACGGAGCATCTAAAAGAACAATTCTACAATCATTGTTATGAGTTTATAAGAAAAATACTTACATTCACATCCTCAGCATTCATTTTCACCTCGGGATCCAAAAATCCTGGTGAAGGATTCACAGTCTTTGCTGGCTCCACTGCCATCGAATCACCATTGGCTTGTTTCTTATTGTTTGGGGTTTCTGGTAGTGGTTCGGGTTTTTCGGCTCGCTCGATGTAATTGGCTAGAAAGCAAGAGGATACAAAGAGGGAAATTATAAATTTTACTATTTTTGAGAAGGAGAAATATAATCTTTGCCAACTTCGTAACTAGGAAGTTGTCTGAGCTGGTTATGTGTGTGCAGGAAGCAATAGTCTAAATTTATCAAATGGATGCCTTCCTCTAGCAACACGGTGGCAAAAACAGAGGGTGAAGGTCGTAGTTAGTATATATTAGGTCCTAACACGATAGAGCGGAGCAGCCAGGAGCGAGGCTGCCTGCGTTTTGCACGTACTTTCCGAGTGCCTACAAGATGTCCAGAAGAAACTCTGAGCTACTTTTCATATTTTGATGCCTAGTTATCTAATTGTACATACTAGACGTCACAAGCAAAAATATTGCACCGCGACGGTAGCCGCAGCACGTTTATCTACTCGAGTCACTTGTAACTTAGTGTACTACACATCATGCGTGCTACTTGACAAACTTGTAAGATAACACCTGCTCATCTCCAGTGATTTCCCCTTTTCTGACTTTTTTGTTTGAGTGGATGTGTATCAGATAGTACACACATTTACATTTTGTTTCGTTAAAAAAGGCTTTACTGAGAAGTTGCTAAGGGTGCCGTAGGTTGCCGCGCTTTGTCTGCAGGCTCACACATTAAGTTACGAATGATTCGACAATATCTGCGTCGGCAAAACTTTGACTCTTTTTTCTGCGTTTCACTTTAAACATCAACAAAATTTTCCTAGTATAAGTGCGTTGGAAAATGGAACCTTCTTACACAATTGACATAAAAAATGGAAGTAATGTTCTCAATTCCAAAAGAATGTATTAACTTACCATTTGCATACTCCATGAGGGTGTCGTTGTCCAAACCATCGATACCACCTTTTCTTTTGCCTTTTGTCAGAGCCTTAACGAACGTTTATAGGAAGAGCAGAAGCTACTCATAGGTTCAAATTTATAGTGTTCAAAGAGGTTCATTCTCAACTCAGGTTCGCGAAAAATCAGCTACGAGATTGAACATCTGTGACAGAGTCTTAATCTTCTAATATCTAATCTATCCAATATATAAAGAAACGTTAGCTCAATTCAAAAATCTTCCAATAGCGGAACACCGCGGCGGGTACCGAAGCGAACGCTTTTCCAAATAGCATCTTTAGATTACTGATATTAGTTTTGTAAAAAAAAAACAATGAAGCTGTGGATTAAACAAAGTTAGCTGACGTCAGAGAATGTGTCAATACAATTATCGTTCCCAAGCAGTGATTGCAAATTTTTAAACAACCTACCTTGAGAGTTTTGCAATTTTTCAGTTATTTTGCATAGAACTCGATGATTTCCCTACCTTTATTAAAGGCACCAAAACCCAAAAAAATAATGTGAGCACGAGAAAAATAAGTGATCAGTAAGTAAAGCTATGTAAATGTTAAGCGAAGCTCTTGAGAATCAGCAGTTGGAATTATGGCACAGAAATGGCAATTTTCGCAAAATAAAAAATAACGAATAAAATCTAGCGAATAAGCAGACTAGGTGATGCGCATGCATGTTGAAAAAAATGCAAAGCCGTCATGCAACCCAAAAGTGGAAAAAATCAAAAAGCAGAAGTGTCGCCCAAAAAACCCAAGGTGAAAATTTGTTATAGCAGCTTGCACTAGAAGCCCATACTCCCAAAAATGAAAAAAGCATAAGAGAAGTGCAAAAAATGTTCCAGCGAGAACTGGTCCTTTGATCTTTATTTCAATAGGTTTTCTCAAGTTTGATGCTTTCAATTGTTTTGTTGGTGGCTACCGGTATGACCACTGGTTTCTCCCCATCCGCAGGCACGAAGCCCTGGAACGAGCATGCTGTTAGTGGAGAAACCAGTGTAAGCTTGGATTGAAGACTATGTCCAGAAAAATTTGAGTTTATCAAGATTTTCTATGTAGAAAAATTTAAAGCCTTGTCTGAGCCATTGCTCAAGCAGCAGCCTGTACGATTCATTCTTGGCATAAAATTGAACCTTCGCCCACTACCGTAGTGTGAACACTCAGCGTCTCGGAGTACGGTAACTGGGCGGAAATTCAAAGTTGCATTTCTCGGCTATGAATGGAACGTATCAGCTGCCCCTTGAGCTATGGCATAGTTAACGCTTCCCATAGTGTCCACAGAAAAAAGACAGATACCCAGACTTGACTGGACGCTGCCTTCTAGCTAGATATGCATGTCTATAACCTATACACATGCATATCCAGATGTGTTTGTTATAGACATACACACTGCTTACCCTGAGTCTTATGGTAAGCACGATGGGGCTCTGATGCACACCCCAGGTAAGCATGAAGGTTTGCTGATAAACTTCCAGCTGGGGTTCCTTGATAAGTTGGGTCAGGGGAATAGTTAGGGATCCGAGGGTCTTGCGTGTACCATCATCGATTGCCTGAAATAAGAAAAAATCATTATTTTAAACGAACATCTTGACGGGAAACCTACCTCAAACTTCAGCTCTTGTCCTTCTGGATGTCTGACAAAGAAGAGGAACTTGGATTGGTATAGAGGATTCACGGTTTTCACCTGAAACGCACGCATTTTCCTAAATGAACCTCAGAAGTACCCAAAAAGGAAGGGTTAAAATATATATAATAGGCTTCCCAAATATTTCCAAAATTCCAACCTTACCTTGACTGGTGTACGTTGACTGTTCTTCCCGAGTGTCACCTCCACAAATGGTGAGGGTTCCAGTTTTGCTTTCGGATACTGAAATTTGCACTTGAAATTTTTAGGAAAAACTTTATCATAGCAGTATTTCCGTCCACTTATTATAAGAGACTTCTTGTTCAAATTAGAATTTCTTTTCTCCCAAAAGAGTAGATAGAAAGTGTTCAAAGTGTTTGAAGAAACCGTCCATGCAAATTCTTGATTTCCAAGTTTTTGCCGTTCCGGGGCCTCCTTATGTCCAGAGATGCGATAGGGGGAGCCGGGTCCCCCAAAAGTGAAGGTGGTTTCAGCTACCACTGGCCGGCCAAAAGTGAAGGTGGTAGTGTCGGACACTCACCTCCCAAAAACGTCGACGGGGGAGGGGGGGGGGAGGTGCGGGGGGAGGATAGAACGGACGAACGGAGCTATCTTTCTAGGTCTAACGTCGACCCAACGGCCCTCTTTAGGGCCACAGATACGATGAATATTAAAAATATCTATAAATTTTATTTATAAAAATTTAAAATAGACGTGTTTAGTAAATGGTGTATTTGGAAGTAGAAGTTTGTTGGATTGTACGGATTTTATTAAGCAAATTTTGTTATAACGTGCAGCGAAGAAAGTAGATCGATCCAGGCAGTAACGGCGGAGAACCAGAATTTTGAATATTTAAATAGTGAAAAATCATGCGAAATTTCCACTGTTATAAATCTGTTGTTTGAAGATGTCAGCAGTTGCGACTTCATAGGTTTTATAGAGTAAGGTTTGCCTTATCAGAATATGTCTTGTCCGTTCCGATCCATTGAAACACCTCCGAGATCCAGAGTCATGAAAAAGCAGGTAAAAAAGAGCTTTTTGAACTTCAACAGCTCATAACTTCTTCAGGATTGCACGAATCATGTTGCGACTTCATAGGTTAGATTCCTCTCATCAAGGGCTTTCAGATGATATATAATATGTGGGGGTTTAGAGCCTCCTGCGAATTATGACCGGGGGGGGGAGACTTTTTAGGCCAAAGTCTCCCCCTCGCCCATTTTAATGTATTGGCTGGAGGCTGCCGGGGGAGACTTTGGCCTAAAAAGTCTCCCCCCCCCCGGGCATATGCCGTAAGAGGCGCGAAACCCCCACATATTATATATCATCTGAAAGCTCTTGACGAGAAGAATCTAACCTATGAAGTCGCAACATGATTCGTGCAATCCTGAAGAAGTTATGAGCTGTTGAAGTTCAAAAAGCTCTTTTTTACCTGCTTTTTCATGACTCTGGATCTCGGAGGTGTTTCAATGGATCGGAACGGACAAGACATATTCTGATAAGGCAAACCTTACTCTATAAAACCTATGAAGTCGCAACATCATACACTTCCACATTCAAGATTTATAAGAGTTTAACTCTCAACAATCAAAAAACACGCAAAAATGGCGTAAAGTTTTAGAACTCTGGTTTTCAACGACTATCTCTTAAATCGACCCGATTCCTTCACTAGCTGATAGAGCAACATCTACTCTTCAAAACCTATGAAGTCGCAACTGCTGACATCTTCAAACAACAGATTTATAACAGTGGAAATTTCGCATGATTTTTCACTATTTAAATATTCAAAATTCTGGTTCTCGGCCGTTACTGCCTGGATCGACCTACTTCCTTCGCTATACGCTATAACATAATTTGCTTAATAAAATCCGTACAGTTTTGCTAAGCTTTACTTCCAAATACACCATTTACTAAAAACCTTTATTTTAAATATATATGCCGCCGTATACATAAATATATGCTTTCAATAATCTTTTTTGCGTTTGTTTTGCTTATTTTCCTTCTTTGTCGTCCAGCGAAAAATTTTTTATTCCAAAAGTGAAGGTGGTCACCCCGTACCAGCTCAAAAGTGAAGGTAGGGGGAGACTTGGCTCCCCCTATCGCACCTCTGCTTATGTCCCTGATTTCGATGAAGTGGAGAATCCGCGAAATCCCCTGCAATACCCGTGGAGAACCCACAGGGTTCTAAGGTGAACGGTGATTGGTTGGATAGGACAGGGCGGGTATTACTGGAAGAGGACGGTGCCGACTTGGGGCACTCGTGCCTCTTCGTTATTCCGGAGCGATTTTCTCGCTTCCGAAGCTACATGTTGAGCCGCGACTTGGGGGGTGTATGACTTTATGAACGATAGCATGTGCCAGCCGCCTGCTGGGTACCATACGCGATGCGCTGAATGCTCCGCCTCCTTGTCAATTAGTTAGGAATGCGCTGCAACTATCAGAAAACTCTAATATCTCGTCCATGCTCCTTCAGTTAGCTGCAGTTTGGATAAAGAATAGAATTCAAAATTTCAATTGAATTGAAAACCAGCTTTCAGAAACATTCTTCATTATAAATTAGTACGGAAGCTCTTTTTTGATGTGTTTCAGTTTTCTTTTCCTAGTAGGTTTGTCCAAATTGATTTTTCATAGCAGAGGAATTTGTTCCGAAAATGCTTGGAAAAGTGTTTAAAAAATATAAGAAATATTATTATTATTGCTGAAATGACCAACACGATTATCTCTTTTATCAGAAAACTAAGTTTTAAAACTTTACTCGCTAAATAATAGCTAAATACAGATTTCATTACGGCGAGAATTCAAAACAAGCATTTTAGGCAAATTTTATTCCAAGCGAACTAATTTCAATAACTGGTATACATCATTACTTTTGATAATCTGCTTCAATTAACAAAATTCTTTCATTTTGCTCCCATCAGTTTGAGTGACCGAAAACCAATTTCAACAAATATTCACTTACAACTCAAATTCATAAGAATTTAGAAAAGCGAAATTCGTAAGAATTTAAAACCGTAATACTTATAATTTCTAAATAATTGTGCATTACTTCCGGAAACTGCGCTTTCGAATCAAAGCGATTGCTGATTCGCTCGAAGTTGCGTGTGAACAGTTAAAGATATGAGGTCACCCAGACAATCATGCCTGAGGTGTTCTAGATTGATTTCACACTTCAAATTTGCTACGAAGACACTCAGTCATTCGGAGGTGAATCAGCAAAACATTCAAGAGATCAGTATCTCACAAATGGGCAAAAAATCAACAAGAAAACAAACGATTCTGTATATAGTAAGCTTCTCCCCGGCTTGAAGCGAGCTTATGGCTTAATATCAAGAACTGATTTTAGTGGACTAGTGAACATGGCTATGAACCAGTGCCCAAGCTGTAGTGCAGGAAACTCGTCCATCTAGCGATAGGCGGGGCTAACGGTGCGCACCTTATTGACACATGCCTGCCTAAGCGCGCGCTATCGTTCATAAAGTCCGCCACCCCGACTTGGGTACTGGTACAATAGAAGACCCTACTATCACAAGCTGTCAATAGCTCAAGACCCCCAATTTAGGGTGGATGGTCTTCATTACATTTAACAGACACAGCAAAAAAAAGCAGATCAAGAATTTCCTTTTCTACACCCTACGACCAACTTTTCCTCAAAATTTCACATTTCTCATTTCAATCTCAAATTTCTCGGCAAAAACCTTCACCACATATCTTATTATTTCGACCATAATTTTTTTTTACTTTTTTACTACAACAATCGTCTCTTTGTTGCTTGAATAATCATTCGACAGTGCAAAGCAAGCTTTACAAGATGGCTATAGAGAATTCGCCCAAATCGTATTTCACTGGAAGTTTTGAGCTGAAATCGGACAGCAGTCGAAAACAAACATCTCCTTAGAAAATCGTACCTCCACCCCAAAATTAAAAATTCCCCATTTATCCTAGCTTATGCTTGGTACATCGCGCGTTTAACTGTATTTTTCCGTATTTTTTTCATGGCTAGAAATAAAGAAAAAAATGAATGGGGTAAAATGGCAAACTCCGCCCCTAGACATCCTAAGCTCCTCCCATGTACATGGTCATATAGCTCATACATACAGAAGTACGACCGTGTATTTTTAAACTTTGAAGATGCCCACTTCTCGAGAAATGCTGATGTCTAGGGTAAAAACGGAAAAAAATTATGGGACACCCCAATAGTTACTTGACCAATATTTTATCCAATCAAATTCTCACCGGTAGATCAGAAACCGAATCCACATACACCATCAAAAGCGCTGGATGAATGGGTTTGTCAGCCTGCAACCACTCGCTCTCCCATTCCTGCTTTTCGAGATGGCGTTTTTCTTTTGACAGATTCATCCATGTAGCTTTGAGATGGAGATCACCATGTTTGCAAGCCTCCAGAGGGAGCCACTAAATAGGGAGAGATTTTCATAAGAAAAAGCTAAAAATTAGCTCGAAATGGTTTGGATCATCAGTCTCAATTAAAAACATAAGAATTGAGAAAGGGAAGAAGTTTGCAAAATAGCTATGAACAAGTTTTATGCACTTGACTATCAAAAAAATGGGTGGAGGACTACAGGGTTGGCCATAATTATAGCGACAAGACTTACTGCAGTTAGCGTACTATTCTATCGCGCACATAGCGCGCCAGTTTTATCGATTTTTCAATCTCATCATTTTTTCTAACTCTTGTTAAAATTTGGTTAAATTTGATCCACTTATAGTGAAATAGTGAAGCCTTCTCCTGATCGTTCCGCTATCCTTCGTCTGCACAAAGCCGGCCGCCCACCCGCCACGATCGCCATGTAAGCACCTCGGCATCCACCGCAGCGTCGTGTATCGCACACTCCAACGTTATCGAGACCTTGGTGGACTCCAAGACCACCGAAGAAGTGGAAGACCTCGTACTGCTCGCACGCCGAAGGACGTCGAGGGGCGTCCGAAGGTCGTCCCGGCCGTCATTCGTCGACCCCGGCGTCAAAATCGATAAAGTTTACTACCTGAAGACGATTTTGGAAGATGCTCTACTCCCGTGGGCGAATTCCCACTTCAACGGCCGCCCGTGGACATTCCAGCAAAACTCGGCGCCCGCCCACAAGGCCGAGGTCGTCCAAGCGTGGTGCAAGAGCGAACTCCCCGACTTCATCCCGGCAGAAGAATGGCCGGCATCGTCACCGGATTTGAACCCACTGGACTACATCTTGTGGTCCTATCTTGAGAGCAAGGCCTGCGCCACTCCCCACCCCAATTTGGATTCTCTGAAGGGAGCGCTCATCCGGGAATGGGACGAAATCGACGAGGCACTCCTGCGTCCGGTCATCGACGCCTTTCCCAAGCGACTTCGCCCTGTCGTCCGTGCCAAAGGTGCCCGAATCGAGAAGTAACTTATGATTGTTAATGTACTAGTTGTTACTTAATAAATGTTATGTTCATGACTCGTTTGCACTTTTCCTTTCTGAGATATAAGGTGAAAACCTTGTCGCTATATTTATGGCCAACCCTGTATATGTCGCCGAAAGTGTGGAGTCCCGCGCGGACAATGTAGCAGATGAGCCTGTGCATATATTGGAATGTGGATGTTGCAGATGTCCAGCGGGACCTCCCACTTTCGGCGACATATAGTCCTCAAAAGATGGCTAGAATTTATCAAAAATCTTTCTGATAAATCAAATTCGATTTGTGTTCTGCACATGTTGGATTTGTTGCACTCTTAGCTGGGCTAGCAAGATATAGAAAAAGTTTTCGCGCTTTCTTCTCAGCAACCTTAGAAATGGAAGAACACTGTCATGAGGTAAATTGCACTTACAGTATCAATGCTTCCCTTGGCCTGAATGTCTTTCAGTTCAATACTCAACCTGCCAAGCTCTTCATCCTGTCCCTGATCTTCGTCAAACACTTCAATGCGCAGCTTCTGGCCGTGAGCCTACAAAGCAGATACTTTGATGCTGAGTCTCTGATACTGAATCTCTTAGACGCAACTCAAGCTTTTATGATAAAAATCATCACTTTAACACATTCACGACACGGCTATTTTATCGATTTTTGCCGTTTCGGACATACGACCCACTGGTATCAACTTTCTCGTGTCTTTTTTCGATCGCCGATGTATGGTCCAAAAAGTCTTCTAATTAAAGCTTCCTTTAGATGTCTTCAAACATGTGCCGACCTCTCATGTACTTTCATCATAAATTTGCAGTGCTAATACGAACCCAGAGGTGGGTCGTATGTCTGAAACGGCAGTACGCGTACGACCCACCAGTGGGTCATATGGTCGTGAATGTGTTAATTTGAAAACACAAAAGTGTCGTTTCAGTAATCACCCATTCTAATGATACATTTCAATTTCACAATTTTACCTTTTTTAGCCATTGCGCGACCCTTTCCATCAAAACTACTGGTTGATAGTCTTATACATTCTGCACAAAAAACATCAAAAACTATTCTATAACAATAAAGAATACAATACGGCCACGAAAATATTAGTCTAAAACAGCTGCGGAAAATGCTACACGGAAGCTAACGCATTTCTCGTAACTTTCACGGAAAAGAAACAAATTTTTGGAAATGAAATTAAACTGCATTTCAACAAAGGGATAAAGGCTCCATTTAATACAAACCTGATCTACAACAGCTTCGAAGTATTCGTTCCATACAGGGTTGAGATCATTGTCGATGGTCTTAGTCTTTAGGAATTGGGAGCCGACTGGAACATATATTACATCGATATAGCCAGGAAAAAAAATAGTTTTGAATGATTACCTTGAATCTCACAATATGGATCACTCTTGCCTTTGCGAATGAATGAAATGTCACGATTTTCCAAATTCTTCGCTTCGACGATTTTTAGGCGAATAACACCCTAGAAGCATCAGATCACTAATACCTTAAATTTTAGCGTTTGAGTAACTGTGCCTACATCTGGTTCTGGAAAGAAGAGTTTCGTTACGTCAACATTAGGCGCAAGAGGTACAACGATTTCATTCGGTAATACGCAAAGAGCAGCCACCTGAAAATGAACTTTTAGTGACAGAACAGAAAAGTAAAGAGCTCAGGGCATTGTTACGCTAAAAGAAAAGCAATGAACAGCATAAACGAAAAATTCAAATTAGCATCGTAAAAAAAATATTTTGAGGTTTTTTTACAATATGGAGTTATGAGCGCAAAACTTTGCACAAAAAATTGCGGGTAGGTTGCAGTGGCGTACCCAGGATTTCCGCTCGGGGGGGGGGGGGCGACAAAAAAATTTTTCGAATGAAGGTGCGTGGCGTTAGCCACGCACTCCGAAAAAATTTTAGGGGTGCTTCTCGAAATTTTTGCGGGTCCCCAACCCCTAAAATCTGGAAAAAGGGGGCGTGGCGTCAGCCACGCCCCCGAAAATTTTTTTTTACAAGGCTAATTTGAATTTTTTAAAATTTTTAAAAATTATTTTAATTATTTACAAGTAAAAACAAGTCATTTGCACATTTTTATAACCCTTATAAGTAACTTTCAAAACCCCCCCCCCCCGCCCCCCCTCGGTACGCCACTGGTAGGTTGCTATTTGCAAGCTCCTTCCCTCAAAAGTTTCTCAAGCCTGCCCCCCCCCTCCCGTGTTGTTACTGACTGAGAAATTTTGACTAAGCCATTCCTCATGCTCTGCTCATATGATATCATATAAATCATGTCGCACGAAATCCTGGCCCAGTACCGTAGTTCTGGCCCTGGCAGACCAATCAGCGCACTGAGAACGGATGGGCGAAAGTTTAGCGTTACAATTTTAGGCCACGACATATGTGCTGCTCCATGAGTGACTAACTACTTTTGGTAAGACCTCCGTAAAACAACTCCTCCCCCCCCCCTCACTATTACCCTCTTTCCACAAGGAAGTTCGTGTGCATACCAAACCCTACCGTTACCCTCTTTCCACAAGGAAGTTCGTGTACCAAAGCCTGGACATTGCAAGTCGATAGATCCACCCTGGCAAAACCTCATTTGCTGAAGGAGCTATTATAACGAGTTTAGGGAGAAGGTTATGAAAATATTAATATTCACAATTCAACAAAAAATAAAAAGAGTTGATAAAGTGAAAAAAACAAAAAACAAAACAATCAGACAAATAGTGCTATTCAAAATTCTCACCTGACTATTTATAACACTTCTGATGGCATTCATAAGACCAGGTAATTCAACCATCTCACCCATTCCCGTCAGATTGAAATCAATTTTCTAAATATCAAACAACTCCACAGACATCAATCGTGAAATTTATGTCGAAGTCAACCTACCGGCATTTCAAGGAATGATCCAGAAACACCACCAATCATTGGTGGATACGGTAGTAATGGCTTGAGCACAGCACGTAATTTGCCAGAAAACTGAAAAGAAAACAAGCTAGAGAATGACTGATTAACTTATGCCCAGTACAGTACCACTAAGTTGTTCATGCCGCCAGTGAATCCACAACAGGATACGGTAAAATCCGCATCACCTGCATAGGCAACGTCCATATCGACTATTATGCGATCTCTGCCCACATTCGATGTATAGACCTTAATATGGGTAAAATTATTTGGAGGGTTAAGCTGGGGTACATATAGACTTACCTTGATTCCCCCAACGCGACACGGGATGTCACCCATATCCATTTTGGTAAATTTGAAATTCTTGAACACTCCCGGCATTTGGGCCTGAAATGGGAAAATAGAAAAATAGCAGGAGCAAACCAAAGAGTGGGAAGCGGAATGAAGACAAATTTTACAAAAATGGTCTGCTCGAGTAGTAGGTGAAAACTGCTCGTAAGGATTCGGTAGGTAAGGCTCGGTAGGTAAGTGACAGATATGCGGTAGGTACATATACTGTAGGTGTACGGTAGGGAGGAGGAACAAAAGTGCTTAAATACTTGCTATTTCACAAAACGTAGTAAATTTCTAAAATTCGAGATGGATTTATAGGAGCCGAGGGTTTGCGCACACTCCTTTCAAGTCATAAAATCGAAAAATTGGGAAGACCCCGAAATTTTTTTCGGTGGATGAGATTACTCACAAGTCCAAAAATGATTCCAAAGATTAACCCAACCCCGAAAAATATCTGTGACCGATAGAAATGTCAGCGTTTATAGTATACCAGAAAACTATACCCACTTTTACTTGAGGTATGATGAAGTCGGTCAGAAAGACTCTGGCATACTCTCCAATATATGGCCATAATTGATGAATAACCTGAAAAAACCAAATACCTAATCCAAAATACACCCCGGCCAAAATCTGCTAACTTTATTTAACCACTCCACACGTTCTGTATCCGGGAACTGAACCCATGCGGGAAGATCTTGCAGTTGTGCCATGATCACATCTCGTTCTCGGGTAGCTGTAGCCCGTAGCCCTATCAGCCTAAACTCACAGCGGTTACAGTACCTTTTTGTGCACCATTTCTGACCCACCGTTTCTCTCTTTTCTTCCATAAATAGCTTTTCGTAACACTCATTGCTATTATGACTACAATCCAAAGATACGAATAGCCCAATGCTCCTAGGAAAAATGCCCAGGTAGCGACTATGGCACTTCCGACCACGGGCACAATATAGGATGGCCAGCCCATGTCGTCGTCGGGGGCTGAAATTGGAAAAAATTTAAAAAATGGAACAAAAATAAATGACCATAGCAGATGAATGGATGTAGACACCAAAAACTCATAAACCAACAAAATGATCACCAAAACGAGAAAATGCAGTGAAAGATCTATGAGTTTATTTATGTTCAAACAAACTAGTGCCGAGTGCCTCTTTTCGTAGATCAAAGATCAAATGAATTTCAAAACCGTACGCTCTCGGCATATAAAGCAAACATTATGCGCGAATGAGTGTACAGATTTTCTCCCTAGTGTGTGAACCATGGAAAAACTTCAGATTTGATCTTCACGTGAAGAAAGTGGAGGGGAGGATAAGCAAAGGATGAGGCAGAGAAAAGTTCCATGGAAGAGGTAGCAAAATTATTTTTTTCAATGACATTTGTGAAAATGCTAGCTGCAAAAAAGGTTATTCATAAATGTTGGCTACTATCGAAAATGGTAAATCAAAAAAAGTCAGAATATGGACCGTTTGAGAAGAAGAATTGCTTGTTTGTTCATTGAAGTTTTAAACGGTTAAGTCCAAAAATACACTGATAAAATAGAAATAGATTGGTAGAAGGTAGGTGTTCCTTGAGAGAGTTTCCATGGTTATAATTATACCTCAGCCACTTGAGATATCCTAAAAATCAAAGATTTCCAATCTAACTAGAAATTTGATAATTTTACGCCGAAGCAGAATTATTTTTCACGTAGCTTAAATACCTGAGATAATTATATTTATTTTTTTATTATATTTTCAGATCATTGACTCTTTGGGAAACTCACGGTTCAAATGCCCAAAAGAGAGCTTCTTGGTTGCTATGAAAAGCCTAATTTACCCCTTCAAAGAAAAATAAAAAAAAGCAAATAATTTTTAAACATGGCGCGTACATACTTTTGATTCACTCTCTGTCCAAGAAAGTCCAAGGCTTATGCATCATTCTAATGATCAAATACGATCAAAAGACTCTAAAAACATCGCATATATGAGAAAACTCATTAATATCGATTCTTCATGAAAAAAAAATCTTACTCTAACAATGCAAATGAAACAGTCAGCGGCAAATGTACATAAGTGGAAAGGCCTTGTGTCGCGGCTCGCGCGATGCAAGCCACTCCTCGAAACAGGAGGCCGGGAGCGCTGGCTGCCGCGTTACTTGGCGCGCTATCAATTTCGCGCCAAGACCTCTCCCTTACTGGGCGCGTTGCCAAATCACAGGGTATATAAGGGCGCGCAGGCCGCGGTCTACGCCTCCTCGAGTTCCGTTCGTTATCGATCGTTTGATGATATCAACCCGCTGGCAGCGCCTCCAGTAGCTCCCGCAGATGATCAACGGTTTCGAGCGATTGAGCCTTTGATAATCTTCTTGTGTATGGAGACGCGCAGCTAAGGTTGTAGTCTAGCGAGTAGTTGAAAAGGATTGCGGGAGTGGAGAGGGGTCACGCCGTCCCGTATGGGCCAGGGGCTTGCGGTTGACCCAGTGGAGGACCCGGAACTACACGTTGGAGATGATCTTCTTGGAGCATCGGCAGCACGGGACGAAGCGGCTCGTCCCGTGCCCATTTTCTTTCTCTAGTAGTAGTAGTCCTTTTAGTAGTTTTAGGTTTTTTGTGTTTGTTTTTATGTTTTAGTAAATGTGATTTAATCTAGTCGTGTTGTGATTGTTTGTTTGTACGGGTAGGGGTGTCGGCGTCGAGTAGACGCGCTAGGAGTGCACACTAGCGTTGAAGCGGTATGTCCTGGAGTTCGGAGTTGTGTTGTCAGGCGGACGAGCACTAGGGCGAGGGGTGCTGAGCACACCGAGCCGCAACACCTTGAGAAGTGGATCGACATTACTTTAGAAGGTGAGCAAAAAGATATGCAGACTCTTAGCAGAAACTAGATATTTCCTTATAAAGGAAAAAGAACAACCTATTGTTCGTGCCGAAAAGACAACTGCGCAATGATTTTACAAGAAAAGCAGATTTATGATAAGTGAAGGATTTTCCAGGTATGGTCACGCTAAAAACAAGTGTGGTGAAATGTGAAAAATAACTAAAATTTTGAGATTTTCTGGTAGAACTCATGTAAAAGGAAAACGAACAATTTATGATGCGCAAATTTTTCTCTACAACAAAAAATTTCGGAAACTCTTGAAACAGAATAATGCCAGATGACTTGTGTAAGTTTTTTTTAACGCGTGAATCATCACGCGAATAAGACATGTGTGGTGTAATGGAGCAACTGTCTATAAAAAAAGCTTGGGACAAGTTTTTTCCTAATCCTAAATCACGAGGAATTTCTTTTCTACACTGTCGCGTGTGCCAACTCAAACAATTGCGAATGGCAAATTGTCGAGTGATTAGCGGCAAATGACTTGGCTAATTTTTGAAAGATGATGATCGTTTCCAGATGAAAGGAAAAGGAAAAACGTGAAGGGAGCAAATAGATGGTAGCGAGGAAGCTGCAGCATCTTTTCGCAAAATTCTGATTAGTTTAGAAAAAAATATTGCAAGATGGTTATTGTATGCGATATCACCTAACCTTTGATTCAACTGGCTGGGCGGTTAAAAGGCGGGGTCTAATGACCTGATTAAGGCCGCTCGCGCTACGCAGTCTGCGTTTCTCACTCGCGCGCGTGCTCTCTGATCAATATCTAGCCCTGAGCGGCCAAGTCAGTTGAATCAAAGGGTAGAAAAGCTAAGTCGCACCATTTTAGAAAATTTCAGGTGTATGAACTTCAGATTTTTTTTCTTATTTGTACTATTGATGGTGATTCAAATCCTTACGTAACGTGTTCTTGCAATTTTTTCCGAATTCGTAATTTTCTTTAGAATTCATAATTTTATGAGAAGATGTTCTATTGGCACAAACTTCGCCAATCTAGTAAAACTGGGTCCTTGAACTATTTCGGACCTACCGAAACGTTTTTATGAGATGTGTTTCGACAGTCTTGAGAGGCCAAGCTCAAGTGAAGTTCTTTCAAAATAAATTCTTCAACCTTCGAGACATCTGTTTTTAATGGAAATGTGAATGCTCAAGGCTGCTGCGATGTGGTCGATTCGCGCTTTGAAATAACTTCAGAACTAAGCAAATCGATTGAGATACCAAAAATCAACGAATTTCTGATAAAAATGCGAAACTTTGCCGCCAACGCAATAGTCTTTCAGAAAGCGAAGAAACTATCAAAGAAACTTTAGTAGGTGGAAATCCAATAGCTAGCACAAAATTCAGTAAAAAGTTTCGTGTACAAACTCACATACGTAATGCGAATTTTACCTTTTTCAGACTCATTTTGAAGTCAAGTAAAAGCATTGTGGAGGGGAGGTTTCGCGATGAGAAACTATAAAGAAGGAAAGGACTGCTAAATTTCTCAAAGTTCTTTAGGAGACAATGATGGAGAACACAAGACATTAGATTATTGGTCAGATGACTCAAACTATGAAAAAGTAAGCCTAAAAAACAAGACAATTTTATGCGCAAAAGACGAACAATTTGAAGGTTTGAAATCGAAATACTAATGCTAAGCACTGTGAACGCTCTTCTCAAATTCCATCTGCTGACACGTGTGATCAAAAAAAGATAAACACCTGCTTTTCAGATTGTGAGAGAGTATAGGGTTGAGAAACATTGATTATAATAGTTGGCTAAAGCGAATGTATGTTGGCAGTCGCATGGAAAGCTCATTAGTGGGTGGTGAAAGGCTACTTAATTGGTTTTTTCCAAGTCGATAGATGTTGGCGGGCACATGGGAGTGGAAGAATGTTGGAGTAACCGGAGGGAGAGGGTGAGGGGAGAAGAGAGGGGGGGGGAGGAATGTGGTAGGAGACTAGACAGTATGGCTCCTAATATTTATCGTTGAGTCAAAATTCAATACTTTTTCATAAGTAAATCAGTGGTCTTTGAAATATTAGGTTGTCCCAAATGTAAACTCTTTTTTTTGAATGATTCAAGCTGTTTTTGTTTTTCTAAAGGACTTAGGGTATCATTCAATAGAGCAGATGAAGCTCTGTAAAAGACCAAGATCCGCTTAACATAAGTCGCATTCATGTAAAGTTTGGAGTCAAAATTGAAAAAAAAATTTTGTGACTTTGTCAAAATTGGGTTTTTGCAAGAAAAATTCCTACGGACCTCCAACTTGGTCATTATACAGTAGGCACATAGTGGCGCTCAGGAGTGCCTTCACTGGATTTTTTTTGCTCATGAAAAACAAGAAGAAAATAGTCCAAAATGGCAAACTCCGCCTTCCGCCCCTCCCAAATATGTCACTGTGTACTACAAGCCTTACTAAGTGCAATCTTGAAATTTCATCCCTGTAGGTGCTCTTGTAATTAAAAAATACCATTGAACCATCTTTGCTTCTCAATTTTGTGCCCCGGAAAAAATCCACCAAATACATTTTTGGGTACTACTATGTATATGTTTATTACATGATGCTCAAGTTGGAATTCCGTAGGAATACTCTAAAAGAAGATTCGATTGGGGTAGCTGAAAAATTTTGATTTTTGGCTCCAATTTTTACCTTGATTACGACTTAGGTGGACCTTTGTTGGTTTTGCTCTACCAAAAAACCACCAAAGGTCCACTCCACCGATTGCTACCCTAAGTCAATTTGAAAAAAACCAGAACAGTTCAGTTTATTTGAAAACAGAGTTTCTTTTGCAACAACCTAATAGTATAAAGTTAACTCGATATCAGAGATAACGTCGAGTTGCATATACCGACAAAACCTATATACTTTCCATAATATTTACAACAAAATGAATGGAAAACGGATATTATTTTTACATACCAAACACTGACAGATGCTAGCGAATTCGAATAAAACTAGATCTAAATGCCAACAAATTCGATTATAACTCCAGAAAAATCTTTATGCAGTATTGTGGACCGTCTGCTGACCCAAGACATGGCGTTTATGAGTTTCTTCATGTTAATGAAAGGGGTTTTTATAGGCTTCGGGCAGAGTTCACGCGATTTCATCGTCGCCATTGATCGCTACAAGACAAGTGTTACGAGTTCATT